GAGTGCAGCCTAAATCCAGGAATAAATCAGTATAAATAATGTTTTATTTTAATTTGTAACATTGATATACCACTTAAAAATCATGAATTCTCTAAATTTACATAACAAAGGTATTCCATGAGAAGTGATGCAATAAGTCAATTTCATGCAAGTAACTAAACATTATCTTTATTTGGGATGCAAATATGAAGAATTTAGATAGCATTAGAGACTTATTTAACAGTGTTCTAAGAGTGCCCCAAGAATTTATATTGGATTGGTGGGTAATCATGATAAAGATGTTAGTGTGGCATCAATGCTACTAAAGGCATAGATCTAGAAATCACTGTGCAACATATTTAGCCCTAAATAGCTAATTTGTTTAGGAGATTTATTTATTTATTTTATTTAAAACATTTATATGCCACCCCATTCACAAAGAGCCTCAGTGCAACTTACAAAACAAATATCATTTACACAATTAACCTTAAAAATTAACCTTAAATATTTTGGAGACATTTCAGCACAGTATAAAACCCAATATAAAACCCCATAAATAATCAATTAACAATTAAAATAACTTTTAAATAAAAAAGTCTTGGCCTGGTGCCAAAAAACAAATAACGACAGCACTAGGCGGACCTCTCTGGGGAGCGCATTCCATAGGTGGGGGAGATTGAGGTTTAATTGAAAGCTACATCCTAACCTTAGACTTAAAGGGCCTTGGACTTCACCATTTTCTAATTGTTTTTGCTCTCCTTATTGTCAAATTATTATCTACAAAAAGAAAAGAAAACAAGAAAGTTCGAGACCTTTCTATAGGTTAGGTTGGAATTTCATTTAAGCGACATAGAAATGTTCCATATTGTCTTTAATTGAAAATTCTTAACTGCATAAGGGGGAAAAGTTATGGATGGTGGATGATCTTCAGCATCCCTATAGCCTTAGCTACGTTCTTTCAGCTTACAATACGAAATGTAAATTTAAAACATCCTCTCCATCACTTATGATTAAATTATGATTCAATTACATTGTCAAGATAGTATGATTTGCCTGCACCTGGCTTATAGGAACAGGATTGTGGTTTTTTGTTTTTAATCATTTAAGTTTATTATTTAATTAATTCTTGTACTGCCCAATAGCTGAAGCTTGCTGGGTGGTTCACAAAGCAAATTAAAAATAACAATAAAAGATGCATTATATTAAAATGTATTAACATGTCATTACAATTGACAATAAAACATTTAAAACCAAATCTTAAAGATCTTCAATTTAGATCTGGCATCTAAATTGAACTATTTGGCCCAATAGGCTACTTGTATGTCCTGCAGCAGAGGATGGTCTTTATCTGGCTCCAAAAAGATAGTGCAGTAGGTTCCAGGCAGGCCTCAGTGGGGAGCTTGTGCCATAACTGGTGGAGGGGGGGGGGGCACAGAAAAATCCCTTCTCCTTGATCCAAGGTTCAATTTAGATGCCAGGAAGTACTTTCTGACAGTTAGGACTCCGAGGGTATGGAATGGGCTTCCATAGGAGGTGGTTGAGGTCCCATCGGTGCGGGTGTTCAAAGATAGGCTAGACATGCACATGGTGGGCATGTCGTGAGCAGAGCTGGCTGAAGCCAAGGGTCAGACTAGATGGCCCAGGATGTCCCTTCTGACTCGTTCTGTTTCTATGTTTCTCTGTTTCCTTGTTGCCACCATCTAAGCCTCCCTCAGAGGAGGGAGTTGGAGATAGGCCCCAAAATTTGATTGTAGTGTCTGGGTAGATGAATGTCAGGAGATACATCAGCTATCATGTTCCTAAGTAAGTCATTATACAATACAATCATGCCAAAAACACACCTGAACCCTGACTGTTTGGATCCAGATAGCAGAATTGAGCACATTACTGTACCAGTGGGAACATTCAGAAATTATCCAGGATACTGAATTGTTATTGTGGCTGGCCAAGAATGCTAGGAGCAGTAAGACATACTGCTAGCAAATGCTAGATGAACAAACAAACAGTTTTTCCTTTGCCATCAAAGTAATGGCAGGGATAAAGAGGGCAACTAATGGGTTTGTGCCTCACAGTTCCATGACAGTTTATAGTTGTACTAGTCTAGTTGTTGTTACCTGAATTAGTTCCCAACCTTTTGACTCTTTGGCAAGCTCTGAACTTTCTCTAGGAACTACTTCATGAGACAACATGAGTGATGTTTTGGATAGCATGCCACTGACTCTGCAGGAAGAAGTCAATATACCCCCTCATCCCAACAACCACTTTTGATTGTGAACTATAAAAAGACCTAAACAGTTTCCAAAATTCTAAGAACCCTATGCTTTTCCCAAATAAACCTACACAATTATTAAATAAATGTTTCAGAGACAAGCAAGGAAGAATAAGTCATTTATTTAAAATGTTCTAAATAAACAAGGAGTCAAATTGTTTGGTTAATTAAGAGCCAATGTAGTGCAGTGGTTAAGAGTGCAGGACTGGGACCTGGGAGATCTGAGTTCTAGTCCCCACTCAACCATGGAGCCAACTGGGTGTCTTTGGGCAAGTCACAGACACAGGGTTGTTTTAGTGGGAATAAGATTGAGAGCAGCGAAGGAGAATGCTCTAAGTTGCTTTGAGTTCTTTAAAAGAAAGAAGGGGGTATAGCTCTAATAAGTGTCACTCCCTTTTGCAAAACTATCCCTTGTTTGCGAAAGGGAGGGGTAAACAGCTAGGCTCACATAGAGAGCCAAAGTCAGATTGAGTAGCACGTAGCTTCAGCTGACATCAATACTAGATGTGTCTTCTGTGACTAACTTTTCACATTGATTTCAATGGGATGTAAGTGTGAACACCTTAGATCCAGTCCTATTTTTTAAATGCTGCTTATCTCAATCCTTGTTCAAGGTAGTTCACGACATCAGACCACGAGCAATTTACTTGACAATGATGGTGACTGTCCTGAAAGCTGCCATTTTATTTTCCCAGCGCAATGCTGTGAAGGTGTGGCCTTGGCACCATGTACTGTATGAGATGGAGGAAAGCATCATATCATTCCTCCCTTGTGGATCCCACGGCTACCACCAGGCAAACATAGTTTTTCCTGTTGCTGCTTCTATTAAAACATTCCTTTATGTTCTGCAATTTTGATGTATCTTGTGTTCTTCTTGCTACCTAGCTTAAACTACCAACACATGTAAATTTTCACTATATGATCTGAACAGCAGACTCCTGGGTGCGGTGGGAGGGACAGGGGAGGAGACAGGTTTCAAAGCAGTTTTATTAGATTAATTATAATGACAGCTATTTCCATTATACAGGACATTATTCTGGCAGCTACACTTGCATGTGTGATGATGTTCAGAGCAGGAGTCCAGAGAACCTTGGCAGTGTAAAACTGAAATTAAATAAATAAGTATTTTAAAAGAACTGGGTGTACCTTTTATCAGTTTGGGATGGTTCACAAACAGCACACCTGCCAAGAGAAAGCAGATCTGCCTGAGGTTAAAAGATGTTTGAGACATGCATTTCCATTCTTTTTAGGTAGAATGTTCCCAGTTCACATCACACAGACCCAAGCCAGAGTCCGTTCATTTTCTGCATTTGCCATGTGACTTGCAGAGCAAAAGTGTTTGAAAAAAATGCATGTATTTGAAATATGCATGGAATATGCATACTTTCGAGGGAAGGTGCGTTAACATGCAAACTTTTGAAAAATGCTTTCATCAATAGGGTACATTAGTTAGACTTCAAAACGAGGTACTATTTGATTATGGAAATTTGGTGAAGAATGGACAAAAACACACACATTTTCATATGACAGAAAAGCAAGTGAAAGTAAAGCTTGTCATTTGATTCTGGCACAAGTCAGAATGAGCATCAGGGGAATTGCAACAAGCTTGAGCATTGCTGAGTTTGCACATCTCTGCTTTAAAGGCAGCCTGAAAAAATTAGCAACTAGAATTGTGATGGCTTGGCAGCTTGATCATGTTGCACCATTTTTGCATCAATTGGAGGATCAATGGAAACTGCCAGTAGGGATAACCCTAAATATCTTACTATTTGGGGAATGGGCCATTAGAAGGACCAGATAGACCCATATAAACCTCCCCGGACCCCAAGAGCAACCTCAGAGAACTGTTTGCTGACCTGCCTCTAAGATCAGTTAGATTGGCAGGTATTTTTATTGCAAGACTCTGTGAGTGCTTTTCTTCAAAACACAGGGTAGAAAGCTATTAAATAAATTAGAAAGCAGGGCAAGTGTTGGTGGTAGCTTTTCTGCTCATGAGTACGTACCACGGTTTTGCTGACAAGTAAATATAGTTATAAATGTAGCCTTAGTTATTGAGAGTTAAAACAGCTAGTTCAACAGTTCCATTCATTCTCCAGGAACTGAATACTATCGCACTGAAGCCCACTGAATCTGACCTTAGCTAAGAAACTTGTGTTTTGGAACTTTATTCGTGGTTTGCATTAGGGAAATAATTAATGAGAATTACCCACCTCATTGATGAAAAGCAAAACATTTAACAAATCAGATTTTTTTAGGCCACACAGGTCAGGCACAATATTGAGTGTGTTAATAATTCAGTTCAATTGCTACTTAAGCAATTATCATATGTGATAAAACAGTATCTCTTTTGGCAGCATTATCTAGTTTGCATAGATTGTATTAATCATTTATTAATATATTATACATTCTAGTAATAGGAGTGTTTTTTAATTTCTACATATCCTCCAGCAAGCTGGCAATCTGTCATGTGCTGCCCCATTTCCTTTGAAGAAAATGGTGCAGTGGGTTGACATTTCTTTGTAATGCCTTACATATGCCATTCTCCCAGAAGAGATGTGGCATAGTAAAGATGGAAAATCCACTCAACATAAATCAGAATTTCAATGAAATATAGTTTGCTTGGGATGTTAAATGGTTTTATGTCTCATTCTGTTGATGAGAAGATGTGTAGGTGGGTGAACCTTCCTTAAGAAGTCAAGAGTAATGCTGCTTTTCTCTCTCTCCCCCCAACCTCTTCTTTTTAACATCACAGGAGTCATCAGAACAGCCTTGCATAACATGGACAGGGAAGCCAGAGAGCATTATTCAGTCGTCATTCAAGCCAAAGATATGGCTGGACAAGTTGGGGGGCTGTCAGGATCTACCACTGTAAATATAACCCTCACGGATGTCAACGACAATCCCCCCAGGTTTCCTCAGAGTATGTAAAGGTTTGATCTGATTTACTTTTTCCCCACGAATGCTAAGTCAATCATAATTACAGGCTATTTGTTTGTCAGCAGGCCTTTGCTTTAAAAAAATCAGATAAACTGTGGATCATCAAGAGAGATTTTGAAATTCTTTCACTCCTATCCCCGGAGTAGATTCACAGTGATTACATTCATCTGCAGTCCCACTTGCCTTCACCTCCTTCTTGCTGTTGCCTTTGCTCTTGCATGCATGTTCTTGACGGCAGGTAGCTAACCCAGTCAAGGAAATCAGTGCAACTTGGATTCATGCAAGGGCCAACTTTATGGTGGCACAGCCTTGGAACTGGGAACCTGGGCCTACACGTCTGCATGGAAACATTAGCTGGTGAAAAGCGACAGGAAGAAAGGTGCTTAAATTTGCACCATGTTTGATTCCCCAACTGCCAATATTTTCTCAGTGTTGCTACAGAAAATACGCTAGTGTAGTAGGTTTGCATTTAAAAAGTGGCAAGAGGAAAAGGGGTAAAGCATCCACCATACCACATAACTCATTGGAAAAGCCCATGCAACAACTTTTACCATGCAAATATCCATGCAGCAAAACAAAGGTGGTCCAGTTGCCAAGACCCAAGATTATTTATTCTATGTATTTTATTCCGTTTCCATGTAAGCCGCCCCAAGGCTTCGGCAAGGGGCGGCATAGAAATGTTATAATCATCATCATCATCATCATCATCATCATCATCATCATGATCCAAAGGTTTTCTGGGTGGCTTACAAATGCTGAAAACAGTAAAATAGATAAAAACAGTAATATTGATAGATTATAGCCATCTCACAAATAAAATTACAAAACCACACAGCATGATAGAATATAACCAATAAATTAACAGCCCAAATAAATAATCAATAAAATATAAATTATAAGTTAAATAAAGTAAATTAACCAAAACCTTGTTTGAACAGTTTTCCAAAGTTTGGGTGCTACTGCCAAAAATGCCCCCTCCTAGCCCTTTCCTGCTTGATCTCACTAGGTGGGGGTATATGGAGGAGGAGGTCAGAGGAGGATCTAAGTGGGTGGGTAGGTATTTATGGAAAGAGGCGTTCCCTCAGACACCCTGGTCCCAAGCCATTTAGGGCTTTATATGTCAGACAGCACTTTGAATTGGGCCCAAACTGAAACAGGGCACTGTTGCAACTGATGGAGGACAGGTGTAACATGCTTGCGCCAACTGGTCCTCATAAGCAGCTGTGCCACTCTTTTCTGCATTCGTTGTACTGTCCAGACCATTTTCAAAGGCAGCCCCATGTGGAATGGATTTCAGTAATCCCGGTGAGAGGTTACCAGTACATGGGCCACTGTGGCACAGCTCCACTAACCCAAGTAGGAATATTGCTGAAAGATCAGCCAAAGCTGAAGAAAGGTGCTCCTGGCCACTGAGCCCACCTGAGAAACCAGGGAAGCTTGGGGTCTAGGAGCACCCCTATGCTATGAACCTTATCCTTCAGAGGAAGTGCAACCCAGTCCAGGGTTGGTTGAAAATTTCATGCTGCTTACAAACAGCACTACTTCTTTCTCTTCCTCTTCCTCTTCCTCTTCCTCTTTTTAATGCTTTATTTCTTTATTGATTTGCAACTAAGAAAAACAATAGAATTAACAACAATTATGACTAAACATCACTGATCAAACAACACATCAACATCAATGCTACCTCCACCAGGATCAGCTACTCTAATTACTTAATGTAAGATCATTTATTCATTCAGGTTGCCCACTTCCCTTCCAGAACTGCATTGACTCTTGCGGTGGTTCACACCCCTTTCCTTTTATTAAAATGTTTTCAATAAAAGGTTTCTAAATATTATCAAATTTATTTTCACTTGTCAAACCTTTTTTCCATTTAATATCACAGGTTAACTTACCTGGAATTAGTAACTATATTCCAAACTTCTTTATACCGGTCAACTATATTATATTCACCTTTTGTTTTCCAGTTCCTTGCTATTATTAATCTTACTGCTGTTAATAAATTTATCATCAATTCTTTAGTATTTCGCCCCATCTGTTCTCCAAATCATAACAATAATGCTAATCCAGGGTCAACATATTATTCCATTCTTCAGCACTAATATTACTTTTTAAATCTGTTTCCCAAGACTATTTAAGAGGATCATAGCGATCCTCCTCTTCTAGTAATATAGTGTAGATTTTACTTGTCATTCCTCTCATCCACATATTGTCTTGTTTTCTTTCTGTAAAATTATACCTTCAAATTTAATATATTCTCTTCATTTACTATTTTTCTTCAACCAATTCTTAGTCCGATAATCTAATTGAAATATATTGAACCAATTTATTTTACCTTGTCCCAGCATTGCTTGTATCATTTCATTACTCTTCATTTTCTCTAACCAATTTTTTAACCTAATGACATGTTTACTCTTCAATACTTCCTTCAAATTACTCTTCAGATTTACTGGGAATCTTTCTAATTCCATAACTGGGTATAACGGTAGGATCAATGGGATAAACATATCCCTATATTTATTCCAAATGTCAACCATATTCTTAAAAAGGGGCTTCCTATCATTTTAATAACAATATTATCTTGTTGAAGAAAATTACTTAATAAGGATCCCTCTACATCTTGATATTCTAATTTACCCCATATTACCTTATTCAGTTGCAATACAATATCTGGTATCTGCCTCCATTGATTAGCTATATAATAAACAATCACATTGGGGATGCCTAAACACCCTGTTCTCTGGGTCATATGCAATCTTTTTTTAAATTACTTCTTGCTTTTCTATCCCTGTTAAAAATTATTAATCATATTTTGCCCTTCTCTCAAATCTTTTTCTGTTAACTTGATTGGTAACATCATAAGCAAGCAATTCATCTTATGTAAAATCTTCATTTTGAATGCTTGCATTCTACCAAACCATTATAGACCAATCTTCTTAAAATCATTCATCTTCTCTTTCACTTCATATTTTAACTTATTAAAATTATTCTTTTTTAAACATTACACTTGTTTTGTAATATTTACTCTTAAATACATAATACTATTACATATTATAACTTCTAACTTGCTTTTAATCTCATCCTTTTCCACTTTATTACAATTAAATAACACAATCTCTGATTTACTTGTAAACCTGTTATTTTTCCAAATTCTGTTAAATGTATTTTAATCTGATCCATAACCTTAACTGGGTCCTTTATTGTTACTAATGTATCATCTGCAGATAAGCTAATCTTGTTATTCTGAAATCCTATACCTTTCGTTAAATTATCATTCTGAATACTATTTGCAAGGAGTTCTATAACTAAAACAAACAGAATCAGAGAAAGAGGGCAACCCTGTCTAGTACCTCAGCTTAGGAGTATTTGATCTGTTAAGCCATCATTTACTATTACCATTGCAAAGTTTCTCAATTTATTATATTTCTAAATTGTGTACCAAATCCCATTAGTTCTATTAATATCTTTATTGTGGCCATTCCACACAGTCAAAGGCTTTAAAATAGCTAATGCAATAATGTCAGCTTTTAAATTTTTCTTGTGTATATATTCAATTTTATTTAATACTGTTCTAGTCAAATCTGCCATCTGCCTACCTATTATAAAACCACTTTCATCCACATTTGCATAATTACCAATAAAACTACTCATCCTCTTTGTGAATATTGCTGTAAAAAGTTTTGCATCTTGATTAATCAGGGATATAGGTCTATAAGCACCAGGATCTGTCAGATTCTTATTGGGTTTTGGGATTTAAAGTATTGAAGAGTATTTTCAAGATGCTGGCATCTCATCTCCTTTCAATATACTATTGAATAAAGATTTTAATTTTGGAATCAGCATCTTAAAAGTTTGATAATATACTGGACCTAATCCATCTATCCCAGGTGTTTTCCCTACTTTTAACTTTTCAATAGTATCTTCTAATTGTTCCATCAACTCCCTGTCCATTTTTTCCAACAAAATAATCTTGAATGCTTGCAACAAATGCCTGAATGAAATAGTCTAGAAGCATAGATCCTGAAACACCTAAATGGGTGCCTCTTTAAACTTTAGCTCACCCATGTTTTCTCTCAACCTTGTCATCAACTGCTCCTTCTTATAATAATTAGAAAAATCTTATCAATACATCTCTGTGAGTTATTCTAGCTTGGCATTGGGAGCCCATATGATGTCTTTCCTCTATATTGTCTTCTTCTCATTTTTCATCTGGCATGAGTTCTTTAAACTATGCAAGCACATCATTCCTAAGTTGCTTTTCTTCTGTTGATTATCATTCTGATATATTTCTCAGTCGTAAGTTCCTTCTGTGATCGCTGTCCTCCAAATCAATCATCTTCTTCTCCAACTCCATTATTCTTTCAGAATGGAGAAAAATATCCAATTTATTAGCTTTACCAGTACCTCTGTTTCTTCAATTTTTTTCCAAGACCTTTAATTCATCAATTTTGTAAAAGCACTCTCATTTTCAATCTGTTTAATTTTTATCCTCTTTCAGCTGCTCTCTCATTTGTTTCATTTCCTGAAAATTATCTTTTTTTTTCCATTCCATCATACTTGTATCCAAGATCTTAAATCCTTGAAGGATTTTTTCTTCTGCCATGACTTCTGAGGATCCCTCTATCTTTTTTCACTCTCTTTACATATTAATTTAGAAGCCCTAGTTAGGCTCCGATCCAATGCTCTTCCCATTTCATGTATCCAGCCAAAGTAAGATTTCATTGTGGTTGTCTTCATGGCATCAGCAATATACAACCCACCAGCCACTGTTCAAAATGCAATTAAATTGCATATTCTTTAAGCTTTATTCCACCAGAGTAAAAGTCCATTCAATATTCTTCCAGCAGATGGAGCTCTGTATTCTTATCCAGCTACTGAGTTTTATTCCACCAAGTTAGAACCATTGTGTATCCTTCATGCAGCAGAGGGAGCTCTCAGTGGCTTTAAAAAATGTTTACTTTTCTTGAGACATAACAACTCTCA